TCCCTAAACCGGTAGGCTTCATGGTAGACTGCTTGATGGTTACCCTTTGAAAGAAATCCCTGTTTTACCAGATTTGAATAAGACCCAGAGGCTCTATAGTAGTTCCTGTTTGGGATTGCCTTCTAGGCTTCTAAATATGAACCCCCAAAAAAGAAGTACTACGGAGCCTTAGGGCACTTCGCGGACTGCAGGTTCACGCAAAGCAGCGCCCAAAAGGCACATAAGCAAAAATTAGGATAGGGACATCCCATATAAGCCCCCGTATGATGAAGCTCAAAAAGGTAGGGATATCTCTGTAAAATGCTTATGCTTATGTGCTTTTGGGGTCCCTTTTACACCGTGGTGAGTTTCCGGAGCCTGGCCGAATCATGGCGAAGGGAGGATCACGGATCCAGGTGCTCCGCGGTGCGTGGACAACCCTACAAGCCTGAAGCACTGACCTTATGGGTTTAGGGTTTAGGGTCTTCATGCTTCCTGATTCTGGAGATCTTGGTATTTACGGCTTTTCTGAAACCTCATGTCCTAACCCAAGACACTTATGTCAGCATGATTGGTGTCCAGCTTTCTCGCCGTCAAGCTTCCAACATGGATGGTCATGTGAGGCCTGAGCACATCAAGTCGAAAGAAACCGATAAGAGCATGAACATCAGGGCACCTGAGGGAATAGGGCAAAGTTAAGGGAATAGTAACTCTTCGTCTTGGGCTAGCCTACCTAAACATAGATCTCTGTCTCTCTCTCTCTCTCTCTCGGTCTCCTCTCGCATTGTTCTCGCTGTCTTCCTGCCTATACCTACCTGCCTACGTCAATGCTACCAATTTACCTACCGGCCTGCATATATACCTACCTACCTACTACCTTCCCGCATACATGCTTGCATGCATACATGAGTACATGCAGACCTCTGCCGAAATAGCTACCCACATGCCTACACAGGAATGTGTCCATATTTGTGCACACAAGAAAAGACCAGCCAAATGAAAGTACATTTACTGACCCTCGCGAGAAGCCCCCAATCTCGTCACTCTCTTGCGCTCAGGCTCAACAACTAAAACTTGAACAGGAGATCACCCCGAACTCTACACTCTAAACCCGGAAAGACAAATATCCCTGAACCCGATAGGCACCCTAAACCCAAAACTCCAAACCCAGGCCATTTCGTCTTCGCATTGAAAGGCGAGCTCATCCTAAACCCGACTGAGGTGCCCCCGTTGGCACTTCCCACCCGGCCGCAGAGCTTCAGGATTCTCCGAAGGACAGTACTGTAGAGATTTTAGGGTTTAGGGCTCAGGGTCTGGAAAGTGGGGGCTTAGGGTCGTTTTGGGGTTCATGGGGCTTTGGGGTTTAGGGTTAGGGGTTTGGGGGAAGAGGTTTGAGAGGCGTTTCGCGTTTAGGGCTTGGGGTTTAGGGGGCTAGGTTTTTTGGGGTTTAGGGTCTATGGTTCTAGCGGCGTGGTGGGGTCTAGTGGACCAGCAAAATGTATAGGGACGAAGCATTCTGATAAAGACACGCCTCACGTCATTACAATATTATACTGGAAGCAGTTTCGCTGCTGGTGTTGCTGCTGCTGCTGCAGCTCCACCACCTCGATCCTACTACTCCTACTACGGCTACTACCTATAGTCTCCATTGTAGTTCCTTTTTTTGGTTAAGCAATTTTATGGTTAGGTTAGGATCCTATAATAGAGTTTTTGGTTGACCAGAAGAAGGACCTACAATGGAGACTATAGGTATGCCTACTACTACACTACGACAACGACGCCTACTACAACGACCACCTCTTGCGACTGCAGCTCCGGCTACGTCCAAGGACGATACACGCGCCGCTACTTTCCTCGGCTAATTACGCAAGATTGCAATGCAAACAACGTGCTGTTGCTCAAAAAAAAAGTGTTGCTGCATTGTGTGAGCCCTTACCCATAGGCCCCATAGTAGTTCGTTTTGGGGATTACCTTATAGGAATCTAAGTATGAACCCCAACAGGAACTACTATGAAGCCTCTAGGGATGGGCTGTATGGCTTTAGAGCTTCTCCCCACTTCGCGGCTAAAGATTTTAGGCTCAGCGTGACTAGACGAGTCAAGATGGATCTGAAACTGTAGGTATGTCGACGGTAAAAACTGCGGGGATGAATTCGTAGAGTTTAAAACCTAAACCATCATCATAAACATTAAAGCCTACCCTAAACCCTAAATCTAAGAACATGGGGGCCCAAATTCGTAGAATATTCAGAATAGTCTTCCTTTCCTGGGCTCCTTGATAGAATTACAGCATCCAAGACATCATCTAATGATCCATGGCCCCCTGCTATACACCCTATATAGCCCCAGAGACGTCTAACAGAACCCTTCTAGAAAGCCCTGGAACTAAGCCCTGTTGGTTGTACAACCCTTAAGAAAAGGAGCCCCGTTTCAATAACCCTTACCTTAAACTACCAATTCCTACTTTTTTGTAGGTTCTGATTATAAACCCTAATATGGAGAATATAGGGGCCCTACAAAAAAAGTAGGTTTTGGGCGGTTAAGGTATTCTAGAAGCCCTTGAAAAGGGAACCCGGTCTCCAAGATCCCCGTGAACTCCTTAAGCCCCAGGCACCTGTCGTGGGATATGCTAGGCCTCTCAGCAATTTGCTACCGCGAAGGCTGTGAAAGCCAGATCTTGCACTTACCTGGAGGCTTATACACTACCCTTTGTTTAAGGATACCTGGCTTTATGGGTAGGGTATAAGCTATACAGGTAGTGCTTCAGGAGTTTAAGGGTTTTGATTAGTATCAGTGGCTTAAAGGCTTAGGGGTTGGTTTAGGTGTAGGGCTAGGCTCCATTGAGTCATTGGAGCAAAAGTGCAGTATGCCCTTAAAACCCCAAACCCTAGAACGCTAGAATCCGAGAGACTAGACCCAGCCTCTCAACTTTTCAAGAATGCCACAAGCAAAGCCTCACGACGAAAGTCCTCTTGAAAAAATGCTGCCGAACCGGTTGACTCTCTTCTCAAATAACCAGGCCCAAAAAGGTTCAAACTTTCATATATAGTCCAAACATATAAGGCCAACGCGTTTGAAGCTCTCCCACTGACTATCTAAGCTGAAATCTGACACGATTCCCAGGACCACCGACCCTTTAATGAAGCCCTTGTGGTCCTTAATAGTGGGTATTTGGGGTATAGTAGAGGGTAGTTGGGGGGTCTAGGTCTTTGCATGGCTGAACTCTGGCTCTCTACTTCCTTTGCCGCTACGTTTGCACGCGGGGCAGTGGCCGGTAAAGCCAAGCATTTGCTTCCCGCAGGTACTGTTGAGGGTATTAAAGTAGAAGCCAGAAATTTGGAACAGCATGAACTTGATATGCCTTCAACTTAAGTATGAACCATCTCATCAATTGTCATGCCTAGTACAGGTTCCAATTTCTTCTAGCTTCTCTCTGTTCCGCTGCTCAGGTGGCACCAGCACGGCAGGCCCCTCGACCTTGGAACAAATGAAACCTATACCCGCAACTCTTCCAACGACCCTTAAGCACCTAAAAATATCTGTCGGCTTAGAGTTTAGGGCTTGAGGTTGAGGGTATAGCGTTGGGTTTAGGGTTTAGGAGTATGATTTAGGAATTATAAGGTGATTGTTTAGGCCTTAGGCGCGCCTCAGGGTCGGCATGTACTGTTAAACCAGATCTTCCAAAATCAGTCAGCTACGGAAACTTGCGATAAATTGAAATATACTCTACTATAGGATCCCTAATATGAATTAGTTTTCCTTAAATCAACCTATAGTAGGATCCCTATATAATCTGATTTTAACGTGTATATTCCTTCATTTAAGGATTTTGGAAGGTCTGGCTCATGCTGGCCCATGATGCGACAGCCTGGATCGGTCACCTCCAACCGTACATGCTGTAATGTGGCAGCCTCCAGAATCAAATTAGGGTTCAGGGTTTAGGGTTTAGGCTGCGCCAAATTTACTTCATGATTTAAGTATTTACCTTAACCGAACAAAACCTACTTTTTGTAAATTTCCTGCCAAAACCTACTTTTTGAAAATTGAAAGCCCCTACTGATATAACGCATAAACTTGTAACCATCACGCTCTTAAGAACCAAGGGTGTTGTAAGCAGCATGAAGTAATCAGACAGGGGATGTGCAAGTTTCCGATGTTGTTGCCGCACCTTTTCGGAATCCTATCAGACTGAAGCTAGGATACCCAGTAACCTAAGAATTTGAAAAGGCCTCTCTTTTTGGTATTGGGTAACTTTATAAGGAACCTAGGACTACAAAAAGGGAATAAGGGTACTACTGGGCATCCTAGGAAGAATGTTGCTACTGATGGTTCGGGACCCTATGCACGCATGTAAACCCCGGACGCTTCGAGCGTTTAACTATTTCAACCCGTACCCTGGAACCCTGGTCCTAAACTCCTTAGACCTCTGATTTCCACCCGTGCCCGGGATATCCCTGCACGGATCCTAGATGACATTACGCCGCCCGTAAAGAAAGCGGGGGAGTTCTCGAGTCAGGGTGTGCAGTCTTGCATCTCGGAACCTGGACCACGAACCCAAGGTACCCTGGGTTGTGCTTTACACCCTCTGAAAATTATTTATGAATAGGTTCCCTTTATAAGGAAAAAAGGAAATTAAAAATCATCCCAAAGCACAACCCAGTTACCAACGAAGGTAACTTGGAGCCAACACAGTTCATCTCTGTGACGGGAGATATGACGAGCTCTTCTGGGCGGGTGGTTGGCCTACAAACCCGTATAGACCTCCCTCAACACCCTCATAGAAACCGTCTGAGACCATTACAACAGCCCCGAGACCCTTTGCAACCCTCATGAAACCCCAAAAGAACACTAAACCCCTAAACCCTCAATCCCCTAAACCCTAAACTCCTAAACCCCTAAATCCCTAAACTCCTATAAAGCCGTCTCACTACTTTAAGGCCAAAGCGTATACTATTTGGGTACATGGACCCTTAGGGGCAGAGATCTCCCCGGGCATCTCTGAGCCTGCGACTTCTGCTGTGGCTATGTGAGCTCCTGGCTTCCCACGGAAATCGCAGGGTAAAGCTGCTTAATTGACAGGGAATAAGGGTTTAAGAGAGGGTTTTTACAGAACTACCCTCTAAACAGATGAAGGGCTACACGAGAATGAGCCTATTATGAATTTAGGGAGCTATGGTAGGGTTTACCGACTCAAGGTAGTGTATATAGGGTCTATTGTAGGGCTTTTTTTACCGACCCACACACTCCCGCGAAAAAATGCAACACTGCTGATTGAAAGCCGTTCGCCTGTCCCTGCATACCCCTTGGGGAGCTTAGGGCCTGTAGCTTGCTGTAGCCACCCAGCAAACGGCAGTTTTGAAGTTCAGTATTCTGGTTTCCCTTGTAATTAAACCCCTAAAAGTCAAAAGGACCTCATTGGACCTGATTAGTAATTGCGTAGTTTGGGCTAAGGATAGTGATTAGTTTTGCAGGGTATGATTTTTGGAACCCACAACCCACAATCCAAACCCTAGAACTCTAGACCTGAACCCTAAACCACACCCAAAGCCCTAAACTCTAAACCCTAAACCCTAAACCCTAAACTCTACAGTACTTGGACCCTGCAGGGCTTTCTTGAAAAACGTTGGTTCTTGGGGGCCGAGCCTGCAAGGCAGCCCTAATGGAGCCCCTATGTTACGAGTTTTGAGGTCTGAAGGGCTTGAGGTATACCTTGATCTACCAGAACCTAATCTTTTCTAGGGTCCCTATAAAATCAGTATCAGGTTTATAATAAGAACCTACAAACAAGTAGGTGGTAGCTTAAGGTAGGGGATAGCTTAGGATTTATGGGTTCGGCTCTTTTGGGCTCCGGGATTACGTACCTTCGGCCTTGAAGCCACAGCGCTTAACACGGATGGTCCAGTGCTTAGGCATTGTAGGCTTCAGTGTTTACAGGGTACTGCAGCCGTACTCGTCTCAGACAACTCTATAGAACGAAAGACCTTGTAAGGTACACTATATCAACAGCGCCACATAGCAGGGACATCGGGTGCGTTTGCTTCCTGCTCTGGTGCCTTTTTTCTGCTGTAGGGCTGGGCCTCATTCCAAGGTTCAACAAGACATCCCATCCACAACCCCTTTTATGCCCGAAATACCCCTTACACAACCCTGATAGGGGACCTTGATTAAATCGTAAAGAACCGAAAACGACCGCGGTAACCTGATATACCCGGGCATCATCCCTTGCGTCCATACACCGACAAGTGTGGTGGTATCCATAAGAGCCCTCATTCATATCAGATCTGCACCCCCAGCATCGTCGCCGAAGTGACCCAAGGAAGCATAGGTTAGAGTCCTAATGTGAAACACGGGGGTTCTTCATAAGGTGGGTGCAGTGTACCCCAAAATCGAAACCACACAGTTCCAATGCCCTAAACCCTATAGATCCTAGACCCCGATGCAATCCCTAGAACCGAAACCCTACACCAGTCTCTGTTAGTCTCGTCCTCCTCGTCTTCGTCCCAGTTCATCGACCTCATGCACAGACTGCTGACATATTGTTTACAACGCTCCGAGGTAGGCTTCATGTATGGTTAACGCTATTTAAGAACTGAGCCGGTTCTTTAAGCACCCGAAAAGCGGCCTCAGCAATCCTGCAAGACACTTTAGACGAACTCTATAACACGAACTTACCCCGTCTGATTCAAGGCTTGGGGTTTAGAGTTCTAACATTTTAGTTGCATTGGAGAGCTTATACTCCATTTCTTGAGTCCGAAAGATCATGCGATATGGCATGTGGTCTAGGGTTCAGGGGTGTCTCATGATCTCCTTCATCCGCCTAAACTATACACTCACCGACGTTGAACAGGAATCCGTATAACATGCACTCACCAAGCCCCCTGAACCCTAAACCTTCAATCCTAAACCCTAAACACTAATCAAGTAGTCTCTATAGAAATTACAACTTATGTCTTCTTTTTTGACGGGGTGTATGAAGCCTTAAGCTCTACAGTGTTGGTGCTTTGTCAGGAATAGTGCCAGAGAGTTCAAGCTCGGGGCCTTGAAACCCAACGGGCAAGCCGCACTCCCGAAACCCTTAGCCCTCAGGCCCAAAAGCCGCAAAATGTCCAATCCTACAAACCAGACTCCGAAGATGCTGCAGCCTTTACCGTGCAAGTATCGGGGCGTGAATAGTTAGAATAGGCTTACAAGGTCATTATTCGTGCAGGCACTCGAAATGTTTAAGGCTTCTCACAGGCGGTGATACTATGGTTGCAGAGGGGCTGAACGGGAGCAACTGCTATTAGTAATACACAGCTTTTTGGTTATCATAGTGGACAAACCTTATTATTTACTATAAAAGCACTGGTACTAGTTACGGTAACTTAAACCAAAAGCCTCAATCATCTTAAACCCTGACATGGAAACCCTTAAAGGGCCCCTTATACATCCCCTAAAGGAGCCCTGAAAGGAAGCATTGTAGATTCCATTAAAGGAGCCCATACATAAACGAACCCTTATAGATCCCTTTTAAAGGAGCCCTTTCTGTAAAGGACTACTACTACTGCTGCCACTACTACCACTACTACTACTACTGCTGCTACTACTACTACTACTACTACGGTTGATGATCGAAATCCTGCATTACCCATAATAAGGAATATAGCATAATTCCCATAGTCTATGGTCCTCAAGGTAGTGCAGGATTTCTATCATCAACCGTACTACTGCTACTACTACTACTTGAAAAACCACATTACGTACACTGGGCTCCGGACCTGGCTGCGGCGCCATCTGTGTCGATGGTTACACAGTGGCTCATGCAGTACAGGAGCCTGCCGTCGCAAGGGTTTTTGGATTTCTTTAAAAGTGCAATGGCACCTCTTCGAGCTTTAGGGGTTTTAGGGTTTTGGGGTTGTAGGGCTATAAGGTTTACTGTTTATCGGGTTTCGGCTTTTGGGGTGTTGGGGTTTAGGGTTTTACGGTTTAGGGTTTATTTCGACATTGGCACCCGGAAAATTTAACGAGGCTCAACTTCCTTAGAAACGGCTGTTCGGTGTATGTCGCGGTGGAAGGGCAGACTCCTAAGCCCTAAACTTTAAACGATCGCGGAAGCCTTCTGAAGTAGGTAATGGTTTACCTATAGTCTTCATGGTTAGGATCCTATAATAACAGAGTTTTTTGTTAACCAGAAACAGGAACTACAATGGAGACTACAGGTAGGTAGGGTTTAAGGCAGTTTAAGGTTTTGAGTTTAGGGTTTCGAAGTACCCAGGAGACTCCGATAACCCGTAGTTAAGGAAAATACCTGAAACTATAGTAGGATCACAGGATCCCGAATAGGATTTAAGGTACATATTGCTCACTGAAGGGATATTGAAGTCTCTGGGAGTCCGACTTGCGCTCTGCATTTGAGGGCAGACCTAGCGTCCACATAATTGGAGGTTCCTGAGGCCTATGCGTACTCAAGTAACTTACAACACAATTAGCTTATTTTGGCGATATGTTATAGTCAACTGGAGGCTGTCATAAGGAACACTACAGAATACGAAGGCATAGCTGAGGCTTCTCTACTCAGTGGCGTGATAAGAGAAGGTATGCCAAGCATAGAACCCAACCGTAACCTTTCTCCAAGCCTCCTCCAAGTGGGAAGTACCGTTTGCGGTATATGGGAGTTTCCGAAAATAGGGGACCCTAATATAGTACCCACCCTAAATAGTAGGATCCTTACTATAGGGGCCCCCAAATAAGGTACCCCTATTTTTCGGAAACTCCCATACAAGGCTTCCGGCTCAGGGCAGGGTTCAGGGCTTCGGGTTGGGGTGTGTGCAGACGTCAGGGTCTAGGGTCTGTAGGGCTTGTACACGGGCTATAAGGCATATGTGTGAAGAGCCGGTCTATACGGAAAGTGGGTTTAGGGTTAGGTTTAGGCGGTTTAGGGGGGTTAGCGCTTAGGTTCAGGTTTAGCGGGTTTAGGGTTTAGGGCCCTGAACCACAAAACCTTTTGAAACCTTACACTACAACATAGTACATCGCCAATCATCATGCTATCCCTGAACACCCAGCCGTACTTCCTGGGTGCACTGGCAGGGGGCCGGGCTACTACTACTCTCTTCTTCAATAACCGGGCCCAGCAAAGTTCAAACTTTCTCAGGCAGTCCACATGTCTAATGCCAAAAAAGTTTAAAGTTCTCTAATTAGCCATCTGGACGACAGGACCGTGGTCTTCCTGGCGGGCTTTCATAAACCGGACAGGGGCGGAACTATATTATGCCCTAAACCCTAAGCCCTGTTATGATAGCCTACCGATGATGAGCTTTAGTGATACACTAAAGACTTGTTTTGTTGAAGCCTCATAAAGCGCCTCCCTTCCGCAAAATACACCAGGATGTAAGCACCCAGGATTAAAGGATGCTCAGGCAATAAAGGGCCCCCTTAAACCCCGAACGCAATGACGCAAAACGAAGGGCCGGCCTCTCCCGGCAAATCTCGACAGAGGAATAGGCAGGTAGGTCCAGCGTGAAGAAGCCTCGAACAGTCGAAAAGGCCGACTCCGTATTGCTTATTACCGGGTCCGGGAGCTAGCGTAAAAGTAGGGTCGCCGTCAAACACACCTAGCTGCGCTTCTGCTACATGTACCCTACTAGAACTAGCCATGAACTTTCAATCCTAAGACACATTAATAAGTACCATAACCCCAATTAGGATCGCTTTTTGGGTCCTCTATCTTAAATTATTACCTACTTACCGACTCCCCCGACCCTCCAAGCAAGGACGATGCGGAAAATCTGGAAGTATATTGGGGTATCGGTCTCCCATCGAGAGTCCAGAGCTTAGGGTCTCTAGGGGTTTAGGATTTATAATAGGTTGAAGGGTTTTAGGCTTAGGGGTTTAAGGGTTGGGTTTTAGGGGCTTAATTAAGGGGTTTAGGGGTTTAGGAGAAGTATAGGGTTTCGGTGGAGTCGTAAAGCACAACAACCGCCAAACCGTCAACCCGAAACCCCAACCAAACAAAAGGCTAACCCCTTTACCCTAAACCCTACGCCCTTGTACGCAACGGCCTACCTCCCCTTTGTAAAGGATGCCAAACTTCCGAAAAACATCTAAGGCTCCATGTATTCATTTAGTATATACACATTGGCCTTGATGTAGTCCCTATTTAGGGTCTTTGGGGCCCAAGTATATGCTAAATGAGTACATGGGACCCTTAGGATAAGGAATAGTCCTTGTTTGCGGGGTATTGGACTCTGCGGGCACCCAAAACCTCAAGAGAATGGAGAACACAGCAAAGTTAAACTCCTGAAGCCTGCTCCCGGGGTATAGACACCTACCGTAACCCCCGCAGCCACAACTGGGCCAAGCGGCAGGTGTGAGAGGAAGGTAGCCTCAAGTCATTGCTGCCACTCCTGGGTCATTCAGTAGGGTTTAGGGTTTAGGCTTCAAACCCGGAACCTTACGCCCTAAACTCATGTGGGTGGTTGTCAAAGTTATGGTCCCTTCTTGGGTCCCTTACAGAAGACGGCACCTAACATTTAGGGTACCCCCAAAAAGGGACCATAATGTTGACAATCACCCATGTAGAACCCTTATAGGAACCCTGAACTCCTTTTACGACATTCTTAACCCCTTGTAAGAACTCTTTCCCTAAGGCTCTAAGGACTCATATATTATGGCTTTTGGGCCCGCAGACCATACTATATAAGGCTTTTGGGCCATTTTGAGCCTTAGGGTTTTTGGTTGGGCTTTACAAAGGTTTTACAGGAGTTGGTCTCATGTGAGGAGCGTGTTTGGGGCTAGGCTTTCGGATTTTGGGTTTTGGTGTTTAGGGTTTGGGGCTTTGGGATTCGGATTTTGTACTTTGGGGTTTAGGGTTTTGGGTTTGGGGTTTAGGAACGGGCTGCCCGAGTATCGACACTTCTAGATAGGCCGGACCACAACATGGCTGAACCTAACAAGTGGCATCCTGTGCTTGGGAAGTGAAGCACTGCATAAACATAAGCATTCGTGTGCTTGCTCTGCCGACCCAGTGTCCCCCTGAAGCCCTGAAAGAACCCCAAAATAGCAAAGCCCTGAGAGCTAAATTCGAGGCCCTGGACGTAACCCTAAACCCCAAACCCTGAATCCTAAATCCTAAACCCTAAACCCTAAATCATAAACCCTACTAAACCTTAAATCCTAAACCCTAACTCCTAAACCCTAAACCCTATAAACCCTATAAGCCCTATAAGCCCTATAAACCCTATAAGCCCTATAAACCCTATAAACATTATAAACCCTATAAACCCTATAAACCCTAAACTGCATCCAAGGAGCAGGAGTTGAACGGTGAAACTCCTTTCCCAGACCTCGCTCGGAAGCGAGGATCGTCCCCAGACGAATCCTCGGCTCAAGCCGGCTTCTTTCGGAGGGCCCTAAGCTGGGCTCTTGTTAACTAGACCCAAGAGTAACCTAGGAATAAAAAGGGTGCCCCTTTCTGGGTTAAAGGACTTATAAGGCCCGAAAAATTGGAAATAAGGGCCCTCTCTAGATCCTAGTTAAGGGTTTAGGGTTTAGGGTTCAGCAGCCCTGGTCGAGCAGTGTCCAGTAGAGTTCGATCGGAGGGCCCTACCCAGAGGCCCCACAGTACCCTGTAATAAAGCCCTTATGGTCCTTAACAGTGGGTATTTAAGGTATATTAGAGGGTAGTTGGGGGGTCCAGGTAAACTGGGCTCTTGGTAAGAGTTTAGGGTTAGGGTTTATGAAAGGCTTAGAGCTAAGGGCTTGAATTTCAAGTTACCATAGTACAAAAGCCATGCTTTTTACTATAGATTCCTATTATGGTAGCCCGTAACCTAGACTAAAATCCTTAACAAGAACCAAGTAAACTGAACCCTAGGGTTTTGGGTTATCGGGTCACGTTGTGGTAGTGCTTTAGCGATCTGGTGGAGGTTTGGGCTCTGTCTGCATAAGAACAGCCTGTAGTTTGCCCGTACCCTAAGGGTCCAGGTATCTCCTTAGGAGGTTCAGTGCTGCGGCTGCTCCCTGCACAATGTAAGCGACCTCCAGACTGGCCACTCCACCCTTCGTGAAGTAGATGTGCAGGAAGTCATACATGAATAGACTTGGTGGCAGCTGAAGTCGGGCCCATTGGTCCTGGATCAAGCTCTGCTCATCGAAGACAATGCCGGCCAGGGTTTCTTCCTCGCTGACTGCGGCCGCGGAGAGGACAATCTTTCGTCGCCGTTGCTCATCGCAGAAATCAAAAATATCTTCGTCCGTCATGCGATCCCAAGAACCTGGAAGAGAAGAAATGTCCTGAAGATAGCCCTGCAAGGAGCCTGTCATCTCATGGTTCTTCTTGATGACGTTCTTGCACATGTGACAGGGTTTGAGCCCTGCTGCGCCCTTGCAACTCAGCGACTGTCTCAGTGCTTCGCCATCAGCTATCACCGCTGAGATGCGCACTCTCAAGATGAACGGCGTGTGGAATATCCTTCGGAGAGTCCTTGGGCCTCTTTGGGGTCTGAGAAACCCTCAATTTTGAGGTTCCCCAATTCGTTAGGACCTTTAGGGTAGGGTACAAGTACTTAAATGGCGAATATTCGAACACCTGTCCCAAAGCCAAACATACAAACACACTATCCAAAAACCAACGTGGCCCTGAGTTTGCGTTGCTTAAGTGTTTGATGTCAGCTGATTGGGTTATCTGGGAAGTGGCCGGCGGGTGTGACGCTTTCTGGGGCTATGACCTATAAGCCCGAAACCCCAAACACCATACACTAGTTAACCCCTTAGCCCAAAGGCCCAAGCCTGACCAACTATCTCCGGGGCCATTCGGGATGTCATGTGGGTGCTCTAAATAAGGGTCCCTTTGGGGGTCCGTTGCTAAGGGTGCCGTAATTACTATTTTGGCACCTAATAAATGGACCGCAACTTAGGGAACTGCCCCAGGTTCGAGATATTGAATTTTGGTTCAGGTGAACCCAACAATGCCAGCCATCACAGCAGACCAAAAACAGAGCGTGAACGCGAAAGAGCGCACTGACATTTTGAGTTTGCCTAGATGCAGCGCTCCGGGCTTGCAGGAGCTTGACTTCAAAGCTCTCATGACAAAAACGACGTAAACCGTGAAGACTACAAAGAACCCAACCCAGAATCCTAAACCGCAAACTCAAGCCCTAAAACCAAAGCTCTAAAATCTCAAGTCAGAACCCTATATCTAACGGGCAACGTGAACCGAGGCACTGAGAAAGGAGCGTCGTTGCTGCTGTGAGAATCCCTCCAAGACCTGCACCGCTTGGCTAGGGTTTCGGAGTTTAGGCTTCAGGGTTTACCTATAGTCTCCATTGTAGTTCCTTTTTTTGGCTTAACCAATTATATATTAAGGGTCCTATAAGGTAACCCCAAAAAGGAACTACAATGGAGACTATAGGTAGGGTCTAGGCTTCGCGTCTCAGGCAGGGCTCAAGGTTTAGGCTTCAGGGCTAGGGCCCCCCAAATACCCTTTCCCAGACCCCCGGGGAGGATCCAAGAAGTAGATCCTTTAGTGGGGGTTCCTATAAAGTGCCCTTAGTAGTATAGGGTCCCAAATTAAGGGATCTACTTTCTAGATCCTCCCGGGGGTTAATTATTGTAGCCCCAAGTTACCTCTTATTAATGAGAAATCGTATAGTCCTTTTCGGGGGTTCTGGTTGGGTGTAGGGTCTCGGTCGACATTCCAAGGACAGATGGTTGAAGAACGCAGGGAGACCAAAGCGCTCACAGAGAGATCGAAGGGCTCCAGAAAAATCACCAGTAGTACAGTATACCGTGCTTTATTACAGTATCGATATACATCCTAGGGTTCCTTTTAAAGGGATTCATAAGGGTACTATATGGGATCTATACGGATTTATTAGGGTTTAGGGTTATGACATAAATCCTGCATTACCTTAATGATCCTAAACTATGGGAATTATGGTACTTTCCTTGGTATGGGTAATGCAGGATTTATATCATCAACCGTAGTACAGTATACCGTGCTTTATTACAGTATACCAGAGTGCTTATAGTATATCATAGTGTATCATAGCATATTATGACATCTCGAACGCCAGAACCTACCCTAAACAGCATGTAGGGCGGCTTGATGTTTGGGTTTACGGCATCAGGGCATTTCTGACTTCCCAAAGGGCCCCAAGCACCTATGTAGTAGAATGTAGTTACTATGATGACTTGGGGAAGTATTTCCCATAAACAGTACCCCTATAGATCCCTTAAAGGAACCCTTAAAGGGATCCCTATAGATCACTTAAAGGGAAAAACCCTTGAAGTATTCCCCATGACAGTACCCAGGACCCTTAGGATTCCCCAAACCCCCGGAACCGACGGCACCAGGTGAGAGAGAGAGAGAGAGAGGGAGAAAGAGAGGAGAGAGAGAGAGAGAGAGAGAGATGGAGATAGAGAGAGAGAGAGAGAGAAAAAAAAAAGATAGCCTGCCATAGGTGCACGATGTGGATGTCCGTCTCAGTGCAGTTCCTGACAGGTGCAAGGCGAGGGTTCGAAAAAAAATGGTCTGCGGACATGCAAAGCTGTGCAAAGTTAGGACTACAAGCTACGATTTGACTTCGGGCTTAGCTTGCCGGCTTGGCTGTAATCCAAAACGTCTAGGGCTTACGTCGACGTACCGTCATGGGTTATGAGTGAGGTAACTGGGTTTTACGAGGGCCTCGATAATTAGAGCACAGTTTTGAGGCATACTATATAAAAAGCATTCTGAAACATTAAACCAAAGTAAGGAACGCAAAGAGTTTTCATCCAGTATAGTGACTAACTTCAGGATTCTAATTTCGGTCGTGTCACGTTGATTCTGCATCCCACTTGTTGGATTAAACATGTTAATTATGTGCCTGATCTTCGTCCAACTGCGCCACCCTTCCTGTCCTCTCCGGGTGGGCAAGGCAACCATGAACAAAAACACCGCGGGGTTTACGTTTTTTATGAGCGAAGGCATTGGCGCGTAGTAGGACTTCGAATGTTGGCTTTGGCACTGTTGTGCCGAACGGATAGCTTAATTCACAGGACTCCCTATACCCCAAACCCTGACCCCTACGATTCCAAAGCCACACCGTAAGCCGGCAAAGCCGCAAACCATAAATATGGGAAAGCCGAACACTTCATGATCACATACCCTCCTTCAGAGTACTAGCCTACGAAACTGTTATCCCAAACCGAAGCACCTTTCGAGATTGAGTACTTACTGGGTCTAAACCCTGAACCCAAAACGCTTAACCCAAGCTCACCTATACAACTTCAGTCATTACTAGGTCCCTTGGAGGAACATAGGAAAAAAACGAGATACAACTTGACGGAGTCTTGCTGCACTTCTTTACAGCTGAGCTTGCAGCTTGCAACCCTGCATCGAAAACGTTAGTATAAAGGTCCTACCCGAAGGGTCCAAAGGACCCAATAATTAGGGTTCCTTTAGAGGGTTCTATAAGGTTCCTTTAAAAAGGCTACTATAAGGGTTCTATTATATGGGCCTGAATAAATTAAATTAGGTACTCGGTTTTAGGATAATAGTTATGTAGGTTTCCATCTTGGAGAGCATATGATAGTTAGGTACTTGGACCCTTGGTCCTACTTTGGTTGAGGGGTTAACCTTAGTTGCTGAGTTCATAAGCCCCAAAGTGTAAAGTGTATCCACCCAGCTACCAAGTAAAGTAGAATTAGGTATGCTATAGGGGTTTGTGCTAGGGCTTTTCGGGGCTAAGGTTTCTGTTGCCCCGGGTGACCTCTGTACCTTTGAGCAAACATGCTCGAAACAGTCCTAGGCCTACTTTCTGAGTTATATGCACCGCAGACACCAGGTACGCCCTACTTAGAGGATCATGGGACTGTATAAATAATGACTTTCTGTATAACCCTAGGTATAAGTAAACTTGTAGGACGTAGGATGCGAAGACATCGCAGTCTTGCTGTGGTCCTGCCGGCGTGGCAGGTGTGGCAGGAGCACTCCCCAGTGCAGCGGCACCTGATCCAGTTCCACCTGAGCCACTGCTGACACCTCTTCCAGCAGTCTCAAGCTCCTCATCTGTGGTCTGAAACAGATGATTGAAGTCTCGATCCAGTTCGTCCTCCAGTGAGATAGATGGAGGGGCACTACGGTCGATGATATAAATCCCGCATTACTCCTACTAAGGAATATATCATAGTTCTCATAGTTTATGTAGGGTCATGAAGGTAATGCAGGATTAATATCATCAACAGTAGCAGTCCGAGGCCAGTTGAAGCCTGGACACCTTCAAGTGCTTGGGATCAGGTGGCATGGCGATGCGGCGAAGCAGGAGCACCGGCTGAGGGGAGCCTTATAAGGAGCCTGACAGTGACCCCCGGTGAGTGTGTAGAGTGTAGAGTGGCCGCGAGTATATGGGCATCTGAGAAAATCAAGGGACTACAAAGTAAGGTTTCGCCTCTTTTCGGAAACTCCCATATGTACAAACTCCGGTTTAAGGCCGTGGGCCAGAGTTTGGTACGGACTTGTCCTACTCATTTCTGCTTATGCAAGACGCAACATATTTGCCGAAAATCTCATTGGTGTACGCAGCTGAATTCACAGATAAGGCTCTTGTAGACCGTGTGCTGCTTCAGGCACTCAAGGTCGACGACGACATTTCCGCAGACCCGCCGGCGCAAATCCTGCTGGACAGAGGCCAGGACGCATGGGGTTTTCAAGGGGTTCGTGATTCGTGTACGTGGGCTCTTTTTGGTGGAATCTAGGGTCAGCCCGTCACCTCAAGCGGCTGGAGGTTTTTTGTCGCGTTTAGGCGTTTAAAAACTGACCCGAAGCCCGAAAGCCCATCAACTCCTAGGAACTAACATGGAACGCCTTTTATGGCAGCCGTTGGAAAAGGACCGTTTTCGACCATGGGACCCTCATAAATGTCCACCACCCGAAGCTCTCCACCTGCTTTTTAGGGGTGATTGTTTGTAGGGTTACCCAGAGGCCCCAGTAGTAGTTCCTTTCTGGGACTACCTTATAGGATTCGATATATGAACCCCCAAAAGGAACTACCATGACGCCTCTGGGTAGGGCTAGAGTAGGGCTGAGGAAAATAGTTGCGTTTCATGAAGTGGTTTAGGATAGGGTGCTAAGAAATGCAGACTTCCGGGCCTAGGTCTTGCTGTAGGACTCTGCTTAATGTATGGACCTCAATAATTCGAACAGGGTTTTGGTGCCCATTTTGCTTTCATTTTACTAAGGAGCCCCAATATAGTATAGGTAATCATTAAAGATCCTATATTAGCAGCCCCAAAAAAACACCTTATAATCCCAAGCTCCGTATCTTCACGAGCCACAAGATTGGGATGCGGTACTACATCCAGAATCAGAGAGGTGGGGGCAGTCATTCGTCAGGGCTATGTGTTCAGGTTGTCAGGATCTCGGGATTCTGCCTGGGGCGCGGGCTTTAGTTTCCGAGCTCTTAGGTGAAGCATTATGGAGGATACACCAATGATTGCCAAAGTTGGTCCTTTGTTTCGCTAACCGTTGGCATGGCTAGGATCCCAATACAAAAGCTAACCTGAAAAGGAATCACGCATTGGAAACTAAGGGCAAGGGGTGTTCGGGCATCACTACTACTTGGAGGATCATGGGACTCAGTATCTAGGGCTATAACTCCGGCAACTCTATATACTTCTAACCAATTACAGGCAATCCTAAATCAAGTACCAATATGCTTACTTACTAAGTCTCATGATCCTCTAAGTAGAGACTGAAGACTTCACACCTTTGGTGTATGATCCTCAACGCAGGAGTGCATCTGCTTTCGGGCTTGGCGTGTCCTGCCATCGCCAGAGCCGCAAAAGATGAACTGGGACCACCTTGAATGAGCATTGTCCAATCGATGCAGGTTTTGGAGAGTCGGTAAAAGGTTTAGGGTTTAGTAGCGTAGGTTTTGTTAAGCAGAATCGCTTATAGTGCTGCTGTAGAACTGTACTGGCAGGCCTTTACAGGCTTGACAGGGATTTGTGACAATACGGGCTACGTAGCGAATCGCAGAACTCAGTAAGTAGCTTGTATAGGTAGGATTAACCCATCTGGCGCACTTGTATCTCTGTATCATGTCCTCTGATCCTTCGACTCCTCTTCCTCTGAACCTTTGAACAGGGCAGGGTTTTGAGCGTAAGGCATCTACTCTCTTCTTCAAGAACCAGGCCCGGGCCCGGAACAAGTCTAACTTCGAAAACAGACCAAATATGTCAGGCCAAAGAAGATCGAAATTCTCCGATTGACTATCTAAGTCCAGGATTGAAGGATTGACTCTGATCTCCATGGTACTTGCCTCCACGAAGCTCCTCCACGCCACCCTTCATACTGCTGATGGACAAAATCCTGCATGACCCTAAGGACTCTAAATTCTGGGGACTATAGTATACTCCTTATGATGGGTAATGCAATTGTGTCCATCAACAGTAACTAAACTGCACAGCATCAACCATATCCTAAGAGAAAACGCAAGCATCTTAGAAGACCGTCTAGAGCCGCTTGACCTCTACACAACGCGAAGCCCCCAAACCCCTCAACCTGGAACCCTATAATCCCTAAACCTATAACCTCTAAAACCGTAAAACCCTAAACCCTAAACCCCTAAACCCTAAACCCTGAACCCCTAAACCTATAACCTCTAAAACCGTAAAACGCTATGGCCCTTAAACCCAGACCGCCCAACCCACAAACCCTATCCCGTAAACTCGGTTTAGGGTTTAGGGTTTAGGGGGTTTAGGGTTTAGGGGGTTTAGGGTTTAGGGTTTAGGGCTTTAAACCCCTGCAACCCCTAACGCATGTCTAAGTAGCCGAGGCAAGACCTCTCCTCACAGCTGCAAGTTGCCTTTGTTGGGGTTTGGAGCTTAAGGTTCAGGGCTTACGAGCTTTTTTTTGTGTAGCGTTCAGGGCAACGGTTTAGGCGGCTATATCACCTTTTTGAGTTTAAGGTTGCCTTGCCAAAGACTGTTTAGCAAACACCTTCAATCTAAACGTAAGAAGTAATTCTCGCATTCAACCTCAAACATAGAAGGTGGACGACCGATGGTTTTGGGTTTTGGGAGGTCGGGAAATCCCGGTACAGATTTCGGGCCTGGCTTCGGTTCCAGCACTACTTGGAGGTTCATGGCTGGTTATAAGTGGGGTTATATATGTAGCCTGACTATAATTATAGACCAAATTAGGGGACTTATAACCCAACTTTGAACCCATGAACCTCCGAGTAACGCTGCAAGAACCCATTCTGAACCAATTGGTTCCAGCACTTTACAGGTCTTAGGGATTTTACGATTTCAGGTTTCAGGAAGTCTAGGTTTTCAAGTTGTAGCTGGGCTGCTCTTCGGGTGACGGGATGCAGGGAAGATCATGGGACCTAGTGAGTAAGGATATAAGTACCTTAACTAGGGTTTAGGGTTCTGTAAGTACCTTAACTAGGGTTTAGGGTTCTGTAAGTACCTTAACTAGGGTTTAGGGTTCTATAAGTACCTTAACTAGGGTTTAGGGTTCTGTAAGTACCTTAATTAGGGATATAAGTATGTTTTAACCCTCCTTTCTCAGTCCGATGATCAAGAAGATTCCCTCGGATCTGTGCTTTCAGGGTTTAGGGCTTCAGGTTTGGGGTTTAGGGGTTTGAAGCACAAAGGGTCCAAGTAGCGGCATAGTAGGTACTTCGTAGGTACTTGGACCCCAAAAGTATATGCTATACTATTCCTTGGACCCTTTGGGAAAGCAATCCAGTAACATATCCTGCTAGGTTTAAATGAGGCAGCTACAATTACTTACAGTTACTTATGGCTCTAGTTCAGGTGCTTACATGCTAGGCCTTGACATCACCAACCCCAAGTGCCCACCATCGCCTGAAAATTGAACGCAGCTCATTCCGTACGTGCCACTGAAGGAGTTGCTGTCCGAACTGTCCTATCGAGAACCCTTGGGTTTGGTGTCTCAGAAATCCTGCATGTCGAGGCTTCACAAAATGATACGAGTTTTATGGAAGTGACAACAGCTTGGCAATGAGCAAAAGCCCAACACCGCGAAGTCTGCCATAAAAAGAACAAAGCTAAGGGCAGCTAAGCCTAAAACCCACCCACAAATTCATAAACCTGAAACCCTCATATACAAATAAGTAAGTAAGGATAGCTTAACCCTAACCCCTAAACCCTGTTGATTATCTCAACCCTGCAACACCCAGAATAAGGGATACACCATTACTCCCATAGTTTAGGGCCCGAGGTAATGCAGGATGTATATCCTCCACCCTAGTTACAAGCCCAAAGGGTCCTAGGTATATACTGTTATGGGGACTACTTCCCGAAATCATAATATAGAGACCCTACATTCTACTATAGAGGTACTTTGGACCCTTGCGCAAGGCGGTAATTAGTGGTGAGCCCTGGTTTTTGGACAAGGCGCACGGAGTCGAACCGCAACCGTCGCTTGAGCAAGCGATCTGCCCTGAGGTTGGACTGTGAGGTTCTCGGGTTTAGGGTTTACCTGGACCCCAAAAGTATGTAGAATATTGGCATTTTGATAGGTTTTGGGCCATTGTTTTACCTACTCTTGAAGGTCTAAGTAGGGTTTACCCAGAGGCCCCATCCCTGGGCGTCGCAACGCCTTAACATATGCGGTCTTGCTTCAAACGCCGTTCCCGTAGAGTCTCTGGCTTAAGTCCGACCCAAAACCAGGTTTCCATAGATCTATGGGGTATATATATATATATATATATATATATCTATATATATATATATATCTATATATATATATGCATATTAATGTTGTATATTAGTATAATATATATATATATATATATATATATATATATATATATATACATACACGAAGATTCGCCGATCCAGCTTCAAATCGAAGTTGCCAGATTTCGGGTAGGCAGTGGTCCAACCTAATACCCCAAACCCCATAATTATATAATCCCTAAGCTCTGTACTATAACTATCAACCGAAATTTCACTGATCATGAAGCGGAATGAAGCGAGCCCTGTCCATGGGCCGTGCGAGAGCTGCCACTGAAGCGGATGATCAGGGCAGCAGGGCTTCTTCAGCTGATGGTGCTGTCCCCCACCGTGCTTTGTGATGCTGTCGTTGATTTGTGCACTGCAAACTTTGGATTCCGAAGTCGGCCCAAAGTGAAGCGAAACCACGCATGAGATATTGCAGGGTTCATATGTAGTCCGGCAACCGGAGTTTCAGGCATGCGGTCTAGGCATTGTTCGGCCTGTCGTGTGGTGGTCCCGGGCCCCGCTTTTGTGCTTCTTGGTATCATGGCCTCCGGAGCACAGCCCGCTGATATTCAGGAGGCTGCTATCGAAGCCCGGGCTGCATTCTTCTGGCTTGATTTTGAGTTCTGTGTGCACACTGTGTGGGTCTCATGTATTTCAGTGCTGAACATATTCGCGAGGATTCCCCTGCTGAGATCCGTCTTTGCTTGGAGATCGCCTACCCAGACATCGATTGGGCAGCAGTTCGGAGTTCCGAGGCCCCACATATTTCGTGAACCCTTAAGCCTAAAACCTAAGAAAGCCCAAAGCTTGCAGCTGCTCTTTTTCCCTTCCCGCCAGGAGAAGGATCTGGTGAAGATCGATGCAATCTCGGCTGGCCAAGGCGGGGTCTATGAGCGAGATGCTGCTGGGATTTGCAACAAGCCGATTGTCGCATTGGGGATTGGGGACTTCTGAAAGCATTGAAACTGTGTCACTGAGCTCAGATTCTGCTGAATTTCAATGTGGTGCTTAATTTCCTGGTGAAGTACGAGCTGCAGCCGCCATCTGTTCTGGCAATTAAAGCCCCAAGGCATGCATTAGAGCAGCAGCTTCAAGCTTGGCCGTCATGGTTTCTATCGGGTATGATCCGAGGCTGGATTTCTGAAGCTGAATGATGATCGTGGCCTGCTCGTAGCAGGGACGATCGTTGAAACAAAGAACCCTGCAAAGCCTCAACGGAAGGTGCTGAAGAAAGATATTCAAGATGCTTGAATCAATTATGAAAGTCTCTTTAAGCTTCGAGCTTCAATATGCTAAATCCTCCCTCGCTTCAGGACTGGGCCCAGGGCCAAGCAGGAAGACTTCGAGCTCTACTGGCACTTATCATCAGGATGACGAAGCGGACGACTGATGCAAGGACTATTGCAAAGGTGGCTTAGAGGTTTCAATACAAGCTTGAAGCTGCACGCCGATCAGGACCCAGGAGATTCAGCTGCTGAAGAATTTGGTTTCGTCCTTCGATGGCTTCGAGGCCCGAGTCGGCTACTTGCGAACATTCCGAAATAATATCTTGATCTTGATTTTGTCAGATGTTCGCCTCTGGGCCAGCAGAAGATACCAACATGGGCGAGGCATTGCAAGCAACTCGACTCAACTCCCGCAGTCTTGTGAACAAGCTGTGTGGCCCATTATTATATATTTCACTCCTGATCTAAGGATGTACGGAGCAATGGCAAAGGAGCATCCTCTGTGAGCCTAGACACCCAGCAGGAGGAGTCGCAGCCGCCGGAGAATG